CTAATACTAATATTCCAATACTATATGAATAAAGGCTGATAGTTTCGAAAGAAACTGTTTGGGGCTCAGCGTCGGTGGGAGTAACGAAATAATTTGGATATATCAACAAAGTTGAAATGGTAAATTCCACTAATTTATTCTTGTTTTTCTCGTTGCCATGTTCCCACCAATAACGTAGCTCCATTTTCTGCCTTTAAAAGCACACACAACCCACAATTCCTCTATTCGCTCCGACGAAGGGCTAACGCTCGAAACGTCAGCTTTTGTAATCGTTACGGTGGCCAATTTACCATTTCAACTTTGTTGATATATCCAAATTAAATCCAAGCATAGTTTGATAATAGTCAAACTCTTTCATTTTCCCTCAATCAAATCCTGAAGTGAGACAATAAATCATCCCTAAGCTTACCAGATTTTTTACCTAATTTTTTAGAATACAACGCAAATACACGAGATATTCATCCCGTATTACCATTGTTTGAGGTTAAAATGAGCTGTTGTACCTAAGTGGAAAGTGGCTAATTTTAAGATAATCTTTCACAAAAAAAATCCACAGGATGATGAATGTGTTAGTTTCTAAAAGCAGCTGTAAATTTGTACATTTCTTGCTGTTAAATAAAAAGATGATTATGATAAAAATTAGTATGGTTATGATTATTACCAGATAACTATTCTCGTAATTAGTAACAATTGTTGTCACATATATCATCACTATAACTGTCATTACGAGTATCACTAGCGATGTATTCCCTACGTTCTTCCAGTTCATCTTCATGGTTATCAGACGCTGTACCCTCCTCTTCCAGATCACTGCTCAAGTCTTTCTTTTCCTTTGTCTCAGCACAATCTTCTACATCCACCTTCCTTTTTTTAACACCAGCAGACCTCATCCAATTTTTAAGTTGTAGATGAGGGGATAATATTGTGGACTGGGGACGACTACCTGTTGTGGCCTCATTGGAGCTCTTGCTATCTTCACAGGCTGGAAACTGGCCTTAATCTTGTCCTGGTGAAGATGATACCTCTGGAGATGGTGGGCTGATAGCCACTTTTGGTGCATTTTCACCAACCTTACAGGGTATAGTCTGATGAAAAAGTATAGACCACTTTCATAAATGGCTGCCGGATTAATATTCTTTTGTTTAAATTTAAATTAGCCCTTCTCGCCTCGTTCTCCAGTACAAAATTCAAAAGAAGACATTATCTCAAGCGAGGCCAGAAGGGCTAATTTAAATTTAAACAAAAGAATATTAATCCAGCAGCCATTTATGAAAGTGGTCTATTGCATGTAGTAAGTTTTTGACACTTCTGAATTGAGCAATGTAATGGTGATTGTGGGGCAAGTATTACATGATGCACTGTCTGATGCAGTGGCAAGACATTGACTCAGTGTTGAGGTCACAGTTTTAAAGGTACCCGTACTTAAAATTGCAACTACAGTTTTACAGTGTCTTAAAGGCATCTTCACTGTTCCTAGGTACTATTATTCCATAACACATTCTAAACAATTTTAAGTGTTGGGATCATGCATACACATAAACTCTCGACATGAACATTTAGTAGATTCAATTTGATAAATGAACTGCATACTATGTAGTACCAAGTATTCCCAATTCAACGACAGAAATCTTCAGTTAGTCATGAGACAGTGAGTATGCATAACTAACAGAGTGTTCAGGGAATCTAATGATTATCCTAACCAAGTACAGTAAACACCCGAAAATAAGATCCTTATTTTTTGGCAGTCTGGCAAAAAAGGTTCTTGTTTAACGGGGTAGTTGTTGGTAATTTTGGCCAAACAGGTTCTTAATTAGGTTCTTAATTGCTAAGAGGGGGATACAGTTGTCATTGTTTTGCATATTATATCATAAGAATATAAATAAGCTTTATACAGGCTAAAATTATATATAATACTGTATAACTGTAACTTTCAACTACTGTAACAAGTAAATAACACTAGTAAATGGTGCTATTTCTATAGAACTAGCTATATAGCATATATAGTGTTTGCACTACTGTATTATATTGGGCATTTTGTGTAAATAATTATTATCCTCTATTTCTTTTACACACACCAATAAATTGTGTCAGTAACTTGTGGTTTGTTTATCCTGTAATTTAGCTGTAACCGATATTATAAGAACCTGCTTGATCATGTTTGGTTAAAAAGGTTCTCATTTAAAGGGGTATTAAAATGGCAAATTTCTGCCAAGAGGTTCTTAAAAAATCCACTAGGTTCTTATTTTTGGGTGTTTACTGTACCTCATAAACTGAGTCAAGTAACTGTTAGAGGTACCTTCACTAGTGAGTAACTGGGTAGCAACCAATTAGCTTTTATCAATTGTTGTGGCATACTAGGTTCAAGAGGACTAATAACCATTTTATTTTGGAAAAATATTTTGGTGAGCACTAGGATTTTCTTCTTACATATTCTTTTACAGACATAGTATTTCAAACAAATGCTACAGCTGTAACATATCAACTGTGTCAGGTGGGTTTACATCCCACTGCTGTAGGAAGAAATTTCTCGGAGTCATATTATCACCCAGTAGATCTTTGACTTTAAAACTTAGTCTCGTTTTTTGACAACACTCTGCAAGTAGAGCACTGTGTACTATCCTTTAGCCCCTTGACCCCCACCCCCTCCAACACACCCAGAGACACAGGCCATTAACACCAAACAACATACCTGACTTCCTGGCCCATTTTCAGTTCCTAGAGAGCTCTGACTTTGACTGAGAGAAGATAAACTGTCTGAGGGTATTTCACCCTCAACATCACCCTCACTTCCAGATTCTTCAGACCCCTCCTGTTTTGCATCATCATCATCATCTGAATCATCATTCTCAGAGCTGTCTTCTCTTCCTTCTGAGTACTTTCCAACCAGCTGGATGAGTTCTGATGGGGTCATGGGCTGAATAATAAACCACCAAGACACATCATGAGTAACAGAGCAAGTAGATAAATGCACTTAGGGTGGCTGAACAAAGTTTTTGTGCATGCTTTTGCTGATGCAATTGAGCACATGCACCGCGATTGCAAAAAACAAACATGCCATCAATAGAGCAGTCATTTTATTTACTCAATACCTACCTGCACTATCTGTGCTATATTTTTCTCTATAGTTGGCACAGTGCATTGAAGGCTTTAATCTTTTATTACAAAGATATGTTAGAAAAGTTTACGGTGGAAAGAACCCAGCAATTCTCAGCTTTTTCAATGTTACCAAATGTTACCCAGTCAAATGTTACCCAGTCAATGTTACCCAGTCAAATGCAGTGCATGCGCAATAAGTCAAAAAATTGCAATTGAATGGAAAATTGCTTTCTCGGAAATATGCTTATTTCTTCAGAACCGCTCATTAGAATTTCATGAAATTTGGCACGAAAATACTTTAGGAAATAAGTAACTGGAGTATTGAAAAAAAATTGATTTTAAACAAAGGAAATTCAAAAAATTGAGTGATCCTTCAACAAGCAATAATTAAAGATCTCTCTATTAAATTGTTAGCAAAATGGTGTTAACTTGTGAGTATCGTTACAAGGTCATTGCATGCAAATTATAAAGAAAAACTAATGACTAGATTTTCTACAAAGAAACAAAACCAATTTTAATTGCCTGTTTATATCTATTCATGTTGCCATGGCAATGGCACATACGTCAGCTTAACTGATCAAAGAAACAAAGTTTGTGTTGTTAACTTGCTTGCTACCAGTTTTGGCGACTGAGAGATCAAGGGTTTTAGAGAAAGTGCTGAAAGAAACAAAGGTATCAAAAATTGTGTTCAGCCACCTTAAATCAAGGCAAAATATGGCTGTGCTAAGTAATATGAAGGACACATACCTGATCTAAAAGTGCATTTTGCCAAATCCTAAATAACACAGTATACGTTGAATCTCTTGATATCAGTGAAGCAAAAAAGTACTAGGGATTGGAAACACAGAAACATAGCATTTACAAAAGTTTAATAATATAAATTAACTTGCATAAAGCAAGTACATGGCAACAAATCTTGGAAATGGAGTGATTTCCAGCTCTGTACCAGACATTGAGTTTCAAGGAATTCATGAAAGTGGAAAGAAACAACTGTCATCTACCCAAGAGGATGAGTCACTGTATTTTGGAATTCAGAGTAAAATTATTAAAATTAATTTTGACCTCACGGTTTTTGCTGAGACAAAGGAAGAGAAAGACTCAAGAGCAACAGTGATTTGGAAGAGGAGGGTACAGCATCTGATGTAGTTAAGGGAGAAAAGTGAAGAGTAACAGAAAAATACTACAAAGCAGCTACAAATCTGAAGGAAAAGGATCAGGCCATTGAAATATGCCTGCACAATTTTCCAAACTCAAGTGCCAAAAAACACTCTGTAACCTTACCCTGCAAGTGTGTACTAAATAAATACAGTAGGGACCACACAAAGCTTTAAAGGGATAAAGATTTGACCAACCCAATTGTAATGTTTTGATAGTAATCCTACCGGAAGTTGTCCTAGCAGAAGTTCTAAGACATTGCAAAGGATCATGGGTATTTATATGGGCCATGCCTTCCGGTTGTCATGGCGGATGAATAAAGACTAGTTTCGTTTTATAGTTTAATCTGGGGTTATTGCGCGGCCATCCAAGTGACATCGTTACACCAATTTTGTATGTGTGTAGATCATATGCAAACCTTTTCAGACTCTGTACAAACTTGAATTGCATTGGGGATAACCAGTGCAGTTTTTTCTTTCTTTATACTAGTTATATCTTTACACTGAATGGTCACCTACAATGGGAAACAAGAAACCACTCACATTTAAAATTCATTGTAAAGAAAGGTCACAGGTCAAGAACTAGGAAATTGACCCAAACAGACTAATCAATCAGCCCAAAAATCTGAATCAAATTTCTAAAGTTTATCAAAAATTATACTCTTAAAAGTTATAATTGGAACAATCACTGCACTTAAACTTGAAATGGCTGTTTGTGACTGAGAAATCATACAAAAGGACTTTGATTAAAGATCCTGAAGTGTCATCTTTTACCATTTTTTATTTCACCAAGAAATAAATTTGGCAGGCTGTCATTCACAGGAGCAATAACCTATACACAGGTATACGCTTGCTCTAAATGCATGTTGGATATTTCTAGGGCTTGAGTACAACTAGAACTAACGCCACTAAGAAAACTCCATCTGGACCCAGTTGTTCAAAAGTTGACTAGCACTGACCCAGGGTTACCCGGTAAATTTTAATCTGGGTTTCTTTAATCCTTTGTTCAAAAGTCTTTTTAGGACGATTTTCTCTATTCTTTTAAGAGCACCCAATCATCAATAATTGTTGATGAAAAGAATTAGACTGATCTTTCATTTAAAGATTTCAAATCTGAAATCAGATTTCACACTTACCCTGAGTTATATTAACCAAGGTTTGAACAACTGGGCACTGTTCAATAATTTAAGTAGAATGTATCATTTCTCATAATCACTAAAATTAAATTGGAACACTTTCATTCATAACCTCACATAACTTTAACTTATTCTCACAAGAAACTTACAAAGGTTTCCCAACCAAAGATATTGGCATAGAAACAAAGCCAGTTCTGAGAGATATAGAGGCGGCCATGAACTAAAATATCTCTCTGTAGTGCACAAGAATAATCTGTAAAAACAAACAAAACAAAAAAATTAACAAGCCAGGACAACTGGAAATGAAGGCTCAATATTTCTTGTCTTCAATGTGATATACAGCATAGGTGAAAATAAAAAAAATAAAAAAAGTCTACCTTATAGTGATTCAAAGGAAGTATTGAACATTTAAGCAGGTTCAAATTTATCATAAACAGACAAAGCTGCCAAGAACAAAGACCAACTGATATTTTGTAGGAAAACCAGAGTCAAACCTCCTTTTATTAAACTACTTCAAATTTCTGCATGCATGTGTACACATGCACGTGTAGTCCTAACTATTAGGTAGCAAAGATCGAATGAAAGTGCAAGAGGTATATAAGTTATACATCAAACTCTAGCCACAACATGATCTAATTCTCTATCACAGAAGTAAAACAAGAATCAACTCCCAGGTACACCTAACTGGATCGCTTCAAACCACAGCGATGACAGTGACTTACCTACAATCAGTTGCTCACTTTCAGGAAGTTCTTTAAATAATCTTTTGAAGTCTCCACATTTTGTCTTATAACTTGAAAAAATCTACAAATTAAGGTAAGTGAGATGATACAGTTATCTAGTACTGTCCAGTAATATTATTATACTAACAATGATAAAACTTGCCATCTACAATTGAACACTCCCAAAAATTGATTTGTACTCAAGACAGATACAATCCTGACACCCTCCCCACAAAAAAAAGAAAAACAAAACAAAACAAAACAAGAAAAAAGTAATACAAATTTCAAGTTCTATTCAATATTTTGACTCTATTGAGGATCCATCCAGTGACACACCCCTCTATCTAATATGACCAAATTTCCATCAACTAACAATCAAAGTATCTCTACCTGATTGAATGAAGCAGGAAGCCAATTACCAGGTGACTTCTGGAAAAAAAAATAAACTTAAGTTTATTTAGCACTCCGATTAAAAAAGGTGAGATTGTATAGACAATAGTACAAGAAAGCGAGTACTTACTGGTGATTTTCTGACTTTATCCCCAGCTTTGCTTGTTTTTCTCTCTGGTTTAGCACCAGGTGATGTTGCTCTCCTTGAAGGACTCAAATCCCTTATTTTTGACCTTAAACTATGTGTTATACTTTTACTGATAGGGGAAGAAAGTTGGAGATTACAATTAATAACACCAAAATTGACAACATTAACAACCATTTTACAATTATACTGAACACAAAACAAAGGTTTTGGAAAAAGTTTAGCTTGGAGCCCTATCCATGTGCTATCATTTGTTGTGCTAGCTGTTAACAATAATTATAACTATCTATATACCCACCTCCTGAAAGAAAGGTAATAAATTATGAGATAAGAGGAAGGGTTGTTAAAATACATAATTTACTTATTACACAATTTTGTCTCTTCAGCTGCTCAGAGGTGAAAAGTACTTGCAGATCGCTTCCAAACCAACCAATCAGCACGCAAAAAACACTATTCACCTAATAGTATGTCATGTGGCACAATTCCTAAAGCAGATTAATATTTGCCCTCAAATTGCATGTTACTGAATACTACTGACTGCAGTTGGATAAGATAAAAAAATGCCTCTAGACCATCTACAATGTGTAAGAGCAGCATAGTTACTACTTTGAGAAAGTGACCACAAAGCCTTGTCCATTGTTGTTTAGTGTATATATACTTTTAAATTAGTCAATTCTACAATGTGTACCTTCTTGGTGAAATTCTCTGGCCACTGTCATCACCATCATCAAGACTGTAAAGGTATTGAAAAAAATCTTGTCATTCTCAAATTAGGTCCACTTATCTTCAAACAAATACTCATCACAATCCATGAAAGGAAAAACTATTTGCTTTTTCTTTTTAAAGTGCGAACCACAGTCATTTCTGTCAAAAGTTGTTCCGAATGATAAAACATAAGTTTATTAACCCCTTACCTTTTTCCTGGAAGGCTTAAGACTCAAACATCTCCTTAATAACTTTTCTTTATATCCAATGATCAAAACCTAACCTTAACCCAATACAATACATATACAAACAGGCTTTTAACCAGGAAAGACAGAACACACAGCCAGATGTTAATATAATTGGTTTTAATACCAAATAAGTGAAGGCTGAAATGCACTAAGTCTAAATGTTTTTTGAGTAACTGCATTACCTGTCCAGCAATACAAACTTAAAGGTTTTTTTTTTAAACATTTCATCTGAAAAAAAATAAACTTCTCATCGTGTGAGTATATGTATTAAATCCTTTATAACCTAACATCAGTATCCATTTTCTCTATACTCTTCTCTAAACATTTCCTTTAGTACAGACAAGGAGAATCAATTTAGCTTCTTTGCTTTGGGATCATTTTCTTTATTCTCACAATCTTAATGAATGATTTCACAGTATTATGGTAAGGTGAATTTAGATGTTGGTCACTTGGAGGGTTTAAAGGGTTTAAGGAAACTGTTACACAAAAAATGTTACATAGCCTTTGAGTATGTACGTAAATGAAAGAACTATAACTGCACAGTGAAAGAAGATATTTGAAGCAGTTCAGCCATATGCTATAGCAAAAAGCAATATTGCGTGCAATACAAGAAATTAAGACATTTACACCAGACATAACAGATCCCAGTTATGACATCAAGTACGTTATTCACCTCTGCAATTCTCATGAATATTTTACAGTACAATTAATGCTTGGAATAACTTAGGAAAAAAACCTTCCTAATCTGTAGAGGGAGTTAAAAAGAAAACAAAAACTCTCATTTGGTGCCACAGCACTGGAAACTATACAACCAGCAACCATGCATAATTAACCAAATTATGTTTCTGTACGGTGACAAAAAGAAACCATTAAGCTCTCTCTTCTTTGAATAAAGCTCAATCTGCACTTAGCCCACGCTAATGCACTGATTGACGATTATGCAAATATTATGGTAAAAAACACTAAGCTGGACAATAATAGTGAAAGTAGAACAGATGCAAATTCAGAAGGGAAAGCTTAATTTTATTTTCAAAGTCCATGCAATGTTTTTAAATGAGGATTAACCCTGCAATGGTTTCAAGCAGCCAAAAACGGATAATAAAAGATTTGACAGCCTGAAACACCTGTTTTCAAACACCTATTTGTAATTTTGCTTTAATTTACTCTTGGAAATCCTCTGCTAATAAACGAAATGTTACAAACATGCAAAATTTAGAAGCAAAACTGTTACATGCGTTCTTACCCGTAATGATGCTATGAAACCAACGCATAAACTACACTGTGATTTAAATGTAGAATTTCAATCAAATTAAACGACGGTCTAACGTATTCAACAAATTATTGCATGGGGATACGGAACTGCAGTGTCAACAGAATAAGCTCCCTTTTCGCATCATGCCATTTCAAAAAACTTTGGAAAAATAGCTAAAATACATACATTATATTAAGGAACGCAAAAGATCAGGAAAAATGTGTTCATAAATGTTGTTTTAATTTGAAGAGCTAGACGTTTATATATTATTCTCACTGTTAATTGACCTCACACTAAAAATTTACTAACCTTTCCAGCAAATCTTCTTGGGAGGAGGAGAACTCTTTCGGTTTTCTAATTAGAGTACGAAAACATACAGCAAAAATTAAAAGGCGGCGAAAGAAGCCCTCAACTAATCCCATTTGAGCTCAAAAGCGGTAAAACTTGATTTAGATCTGTCTAGGTAACCTTGTGGTAGATGATTTCTTGCCGTCTTGAATTTTAACTTCCTCGTCATTGCCTGCGTCGTATTTCTCTAAGTCGAGGCTTGTGGGTCGCTCTTTCTTCGTTTCATTCTCTTTGACTTCCACTGCATCTGCCGCATTAGAGGAGGTACCTTCCTCCATGCTATCACCTGAGTATTAATTTTTTATCCTCCTTGATTACATGATGGCGAAAAGTTCAAATTTTCCTTTCGCCCCCAGATGACCACATTAGCACTTAGACTTCCTCGGTCGCTTGCGTCCGTCGTCACACTTCAGCTGGGCAAAAAGCGAAGAGGTAACCTTGAACCATTGTTAACCATTTGCTAACTATGCTTGAACCTTGCACACGTTCCAATGGTTCAGTTATAAAACAAGGCGTGATAGTAGCGTATAGATATAAAGTGGATATTTGGGTCAGGTCGCGTTCTCAACGCGGCCAGTTCCAAACACTGAAGTCTCCATCTTCCTCTGGCTACGGGGTTGCAGACAGTTGGAGCATTGCGAAAGCTTCAACGATATGCTGCAATGCGTGCAATACGACTACGATGATTTTCTGTTCTTCATAAACTTAAGCCCAAGTAGCTGCGGCTTAATTTGGAGGCAACAGAGCTGCAAAAACAAACGATAAAGATTCATTTTCCACTTCACCTCCGCCCCGTGCCTCCACAGGGAGCCCAGACAAGCGACGAGTCTGGTCAGTTTATCGTAAACTTATATCATGAAATGTCTGAGTTAAAGCTCAAAATAAATGTAAACCTACCTCACTTGCTGTGTATTGTCGTTTCTGTGGCTCTAAATGGCGAATTAATTTTAAGCGATTTGGTGGGTTTTGCGTCGACTGTTACTATATGTCTCCTTATAACGGTTTAACCTCCAATGAGATCAAACACCACTGTTTGACTGTACCGGCGCTCATATCTGCCTTCATCATGAGCTGGAAGCTTGATTTTTTAATATAAAAGTGTTCGCTATTCAAAACTGTGGGTTGTAACCGTTAGATCCAAAGAAATATGAGAGATTTTCTGCGTGCAATATTTTCCCTTTCTTCATTAAACCAATCCTGAAATTAGTTTTTGTCTCTTATAAACACCCTACATTGATAGGATAAGTCAATTTTGGTTAACTAGAAAAAGCTTGGGTCCTCATAATAAGGAAGTAAGCGCGAAAGGTGGACAAGTCCTCAATGTCCTGGCATGAAACGTGTGAAGTCCCACACGACGACCAAGTTCCCAGCTCGGGTCAAGTTCGGGTTTTGTTCGGGATAGCTCGAGATCATGCGCGTCCAACATCGGCAAGTACTGAAAACCAGGAACACCAGCATAATTTTCCGCGAAGGTGTTGACGGGTAATTTGCAAGCAGGCTCGAGAGCGGCAACGACAAGGGTTTTTCCGACTGACAACATGGCGGCCGGAGAGGGGGATGATTCACTTTACCCGATCGCTGTATTGATAGATGAGCTGCGAAACGAGGATGTTCAGGTAATTAAAGAAACCATGTTAGTTCTTCTACTTTTTTTTCCTTTTGTGAACGATTTCTGGGTACATTTTCTGTTTCTGATTGCGTGTGACTTCGAGCCTTCTACAATGTCGACCTGAATTGTTTGATAATTTGACTTTTCGTAAAATGGTTCTGTAGTTGCGGCTGAACTCCATCAAGAAACTTTCGACCATCGCCTTGGCTTTGGGAGTAGAAAGAACAAGAAGTGAACTTATACCCTTTCTAACCGGTAAGTTAAATTACTATGCCTTTCCTGTCTGTTATTGCAAAAATGTGCAGCTTAGAAATTCTTCCAGTACGGAGCTTAGTTCCTTTCTACAGGGCTTGACTTGGACAAGGATTTTTGTTATATAAATATATCCGGTGGATCTAAACCCATTGAAGTTATTTTGGCGCCTCTTTAGACAATGTGTAATTTTGACTTGAAAGGTAGAAACTGTGTGTATATTTGGTAGTGTTCGTTTTGGAGGATTCGCAATCGATGTTTTGGAAGGTAACATTTGCTTTCGATGAGAGCTGGATGCACTTAACTAGAAAAATAAAAGCGGAATTATTAATGTTAAAGACGAGAAATCAATGAAGACTTATTTAATCAAGTTCAATTGTTAAAAGCTATCTCTAAACTATCTTCATGATCATAGCTTCCATAATACGAGTATTTTCAAACTGTGGACTCGTTTGAGTGAGCCAGGATCGATCGTTAAATACGAAATTCTCATTTGCTTATTTTGGGTGAATGTGTCACAAAGACATATTTAATGGTGTGAAATGATGGTCATGTGAATCATTCGTATATTACATAAGACTAAGTTTCAATTAATTTCCTGATAGAGATATTTGTTAGTAAAGTACATGTATATATGAATATTGTAATGTGAACCTCTTTGCATCTAGTTAGGTGCAAACCAGAAGCTGATTGCAACTCTTATTATTTGGGTTAACAGCAAACTGTAGTTTTAAAACTTTGAACAGTTTTGTGTACCATATACTTTTGGTAATTCTCATATTTTTCTTGGCTCTAAATTTTTCTTACAAATCATGATATTTGAATTTCCTTTTCTTTTATTTATGATCATAATCTGAAACAAAGAAACTGGTTTGAGTGGTTTTATACCTTTACAGTTTTTTTTCTCCTTATGGGTACATTGATCCACTAAATAAGATCATTTCTTTTAAGAGATCTGAGAGAAAGAGCAAAGCTATCATCCATGCTAAACTGTCTTTATACAAAAGTTTTTTCCGTCACCTGTTCGCAGTAGTGTCTGCCGCTCCCTCCTTACCTCCAGTACAACAAGAGAAAAACCAAGGCCATTGTACAATTAGATAGGAACTTGTGAAATCAGATAGACATTTTTTATTAATTACTCCAAGAACTTGTTCAAATGAGTGTAAATTCTGTAAAAGAATAAGGTCAAATATTGTCCTCTATCTTTTTCTCAATTTAGAAACAATTTATGATGAAGATGAGGTCTTGTTAGCACTTGCAGAACAGGTAATTTTTTCTTTAAACAAATATTTGAATCAGTTTTATTTGTTATGATACTTAAAAAGCTAAGTATAAAAAAGCAATGAAAAGCATACATCCACTGTCAATGTTACAACATTTGTTGCTTCTGTCTTATTCTTATAAGCTCCCTCAGATTTAGCCACCCTTCCAGAATCTAGCCCCCCCCCCCCTACCCTCTACAGATTTTAGCCACCTTAGCATGATTTTGATCAGTTCTTGTAAGACTCACTGTTACATGAACTTCATACTCTGCAAGGTCATATAATTGTACTGTTTGTTTGATGAAGTTGTTATAATTTTTTTTTGTCTTTTAGCTTGGTTCTTTTACCCCGCTGGTTGGAGGGCCAGACTTCGTACATTGTTTACTGGTATGTTTTTCCTGGCATTTAACCTTTAAGGAGCCTGGAAAATCTTTTTATTAAATATGATTACTCTTTAAAAGGAAACTTCCAGTGATGGAACAAATTAACAGTAAATTATCAGAAGTGATCCTGGAGAATGATAAATACTTCTGTTGGCTTCATGCTAAACTGGAAACCAGTAAAACCTAAAGAGGTGATAATATTTACCACTAGGTTGTGTGATATAGCACTTAGTACTTGGAACAGAAAGTTAATTTCAATATATTGTTTTGATATCTAGCGTCCACTTGAGAGTTTAGCAAATGTGGAAGAAACAGTGGTTAGGGATAAGGTAAAGCTGTCTTTATTAAGACTTCACTCTTGTCTTATTTCTTTACTACACATTTATTGAGCCTTTCAGATGCAACATACCATATAAGTGTATTTTAATTCAAAATGAATTGCAGATTAAAATGATTTGAAGCCAGTTTGATTCATATCTACATGTATGTAGATCCAGTCTTTCTTCTGTGTTGGAGATAATGGTCAGATTTGAATCAAACTAGTATAAGATCAATTTAAACTGAATTTAATTTTATTCAGTAACTTTTACTCTGCATATCATCACTATGACTATTTTTTTTTAATTTTTTTTTTTTTTTTTACTTTTTCTTAGTAAGCTTGACGTGTAAAACTAGTCTCAAATTTTTACAAACTTGGATTGAAATTCAGTTGCAGCATGGTGTCTGTGCTCTATGTGGAATATTTTATCTTTCAACAAACACTGACTGCAGTTACTCAAATCTATTCTGAGAAATAATGAAGAACTGCATGCTATTTTTGCTTGTAGAAGTTGAAAAATTATGTGAGATCTTGGAAATAATGGCATTTGAATTGTGACCCTCCACCGTAGCTTTTGTTTGGTTTTGTCTCAGGTGGCGTGTTAAATGTTACACTAAACGTGCAATTTGGCATGCGTGCAATAAGGCACGAGTGTCATATGCCTTATTGCACATGTGCAATAAGACACGTAGCAGGACGAATGAGAGATGACAAGTCGCCATTACGAGTGTTCGTTCAAAGCCTCAAAGTATTAAATTCTTGCATGTCTATCTGGCCATACAAATTGTTAAAAAAAAAACTAGAAAAGAAAAGAAACAGGGCTAACCAAAAAAATACATAATGGATTATGACCCTGAATGTTTTATATTTCAGTCTGTGAACATCACAGAAATACACTGGTGTAGAAGTGATTATTGTCTCAGGAAAAGCAAGGAAAACTCGGGGCTCACTGAAATTACCCATGAATATACTTCAAAATATCCCTTAATTTTTTTAATGCTTCAATATTTTTTGATATGAAAAGCTCTAAATATTGGGTAAATTGACTTTTAATTCCTCTTCAAATTTCCCTCAAAGGCAGTTGAATCGTTAAGAACTATAGCAGCAGATCATTCAACTCAAGACCTAGAAATTCATTTTGTTCCTCTAGTCAAGAGGTTATCACAAGGTATGTATGGTTCTTTATCACTCATGGTTGTTTGTTTATGGCTCAGTAGTAATCTTCAGATCTTACTTTCAAATTTGGAAACCTCTGTTAACACACAGCACTTACAAGCACCTTACAAAACAATACAGTGATGATTGCAGCTGTACGTAAAAACAACTGCTATTTTGTCTCTATTTAACTAAGTGGTAATTAAAAGTTCTGCTCGATTTTCAGGAGATTGGTTTACCTCTAGAACGTCAGCTTGTGGGCTGTTTGCAGTTGCATATGCTCGCGTTAACGCCAGCCTAAAAGCAGAATTGAGAAGGTAAAGAGACAAGTCCCCAATAGCTGAGAGCTTTTGAAGTACTTACTGGAAGGTCATAGCATAGACTCCTACCAGAAGCACTTGGAATTCATTTTTCTGAGTGTACCTATGTCATTCACTGGATAACATTATCTTCCACAAATAGCATTTGGGAGAATATTTTGGAACTCATGAGATGTACATGTACTGAGCTGCACAGTTACCAATGGACTTCATCAGGGCTCGACACTAACTTTTCAACTTACTAGCCAAGTGGCTAGTGACAACTTTTTAAGTGTTACAACAATTTCAGTTTGTTTACAAGCCAAACTGGCTTGTGGAAATAAAAAACTACTTGCCAAAACTGAATTTCTACTAGTCTGTGGCTAGTTGGCTACTGTTAGTGTGGAGCCCTGCTCATTTTGGTCTTCCTTTACAGCATCCCAAGTTTATTCTTACGTAAAGACTGAGACTGACCTGGAATTGTTTGCAACTTTGACATGACTCAACAGTTTCTTTTAACAATAGTCTTCCATGTCTTGATAGACACGTAGATAGATAGATAGATAGATAGATAGATAGATAGATAGATAGATAGATAGATAGATAGATAGATAGCAGCTTAATAGCAGCTGGAAGCTGAATTGCAAAGGTGTACAAATTATGTAAAAAGCAAGGAAAACTCGGGGCTCACTGAAATTACCCTTGAATATACTTCAAAATATCCCTTAATTTTTTTATTTCTTCAATATTTTTTGATGTGAGAAGCACTAAATACTGAGTTAATTGACAAATATTTAATTCCTCTTCAAATTTCCCTCAAAGGCAGTTGAATTGTTAAGAACTATAGCAGCAGATCATTCAACTCAAGACCTAGAAAATCATTTTGTTCCTCTAGTCAAGAGGTTAGATTGTTAGAAGTTAGTTGTAATGCTAGTATATTTACCAATGTTTGACCTCTTTGTAGCCACTTCAAAAATTTGTGTGCAGATGATACACCCATGGTTAGAAGAGCTGCTTCTGGAAAACTTGGTGTAAGTTGAATTACATTTAACAATCAAAACTGTACCTTACCAGTAATTAGTTGCAAAATATACAGTAACAATAACAGTGCATGAGCTTAGATGCAAATATTTTCTTTGCACTACCCAAAGTTTTAGTGTGCACAACGTTATCCTTTTTGTAATAAGTTTCTGAGTAAGACTTAATTGTCCACAGTACATGTTACAAGTGAGGTGTTGGTTTTTTTCTCTTTCTTTTACCTCCCAAACTCAACACAGTGTATATCTAAATTATAAGCATGAAATGTAGTTTCATATAGAGTACTTAATACTGAAGTAGACAATAGGCATTAGATATGTATAAGTAACTGTTGTGAATTACAACTCTTTACGTTTGCGAGCATCTTCCTAAGAAGCTGCTTCCTCCCTGAGAAATCTCAATTGACACTCAAGTTGTACTTAGGTTATCTAGGTGGAAATCCGATACTGGCTTTATAAAAACATTTGCTTGTATCACAAGTAGTATATTTAAAGATTTGATGCTTCTTCCTATTGCTAGAAGTTAGATCCTTGCTCATTGTTATTCTTGGTTTGCTTTGATTTAAGGAATTTGCAAAATGTGTGGAGCTGGAGTATGTCAAATCAGATCTTGTTCCATTGTTCAATAACTTAGCCAGCGATGAACAAGACTCTGTTAGGTTGCTAGCTGTAGAGGGTTGTTCAAATATTGCTTCAATTCTGCCTGATGAGGATAAAGAGACTTTGCTTATGCCTACAGTGAGAGCTGCTGCACAGGTAATATAGATGTGCAGTACATGACTATTATGCTGATAGTGCCTTAAAGAAGAAAAGAAGGTGAAAAGTTCATTTGGAATATAATTGATTGACCTGTGCAAAAGAACAAACATAAAAGTTCTCTCTAAAGTTAAAAATGCTGGTAAGTAATTTTAATCTACTCCTTTAGTAACTTTGCTTGTCACTCTTTTCAAGGACAAATCATGGAGAGTACGTTACATGGTGGCAGACAAATTTACAGAGGTGAGCAGTATGCTATATAAAGCTCTATATACCTCCAGTGTACTTTAACACATATCTATCATGATAACACAAATTGTTAACCATAATAACTTTTGAAGTTCCCAAAGCTAAGCACAGAGTACAGTAGATGTCTGCATGTATCATCAGTCTGTTATTAAGGGTTCATGTTGTCTTGTTTCATAAAAGGTGTAAGCAACACAAGTCTCAATTGGTTCATCGTATTTGATCTTCTGAATAGTGAGACCCCTGTGATGATAATCCTATTTAGCCAAAAAATTTGAAATCAGGACCAAGTACTTAAAATAATTTTTCTCCTTTTTTAGCTGCAAAATGCTGTGGGATCTGAGATCACTAAGACTGACCTGGTGCCAGCCTTCCAAGGTTTGCTTAAAGACTGTGAGGCAGAAGTCAGAGCTGCTGCAGCGGGAAAAGTCAAAGGTAGAATTGTAGTTTTTCTAAATAAGTTACTTCTTTTCTTCATATGTATCAGTACACACTGCCCAGTACAACTCAGCTAACTTCAGCTGATGCAAGACAGGGTTCAAGATAGCAAGGAGTTAGTGTTACCATGAAAATTAACCTAAAGAGTCAACTTACATGCAGCTTGATTTTGAGGTTTTGCAGCATATCATTAATTTCCATCATTACAGACAAAGAAGGAATGTGATATGTCTCCACTATACATGCACTTGAGAAAATTTCATATCCCACATCTAACAGTGATTTTTTCCCTCTCTTTCTTTCTTTCTTTCTTTCTTTTTTGTTTTTTTGTTTTTGTTTTTGGTTTTGGTTATTTTTTAGGGAGGGGGGGAGGCAATGTTAGCATGTTTGTGCTGAAGGAGAGAGTTTTTTTCCCCCCTTGTAAGTTCACTAAGAGAAATTATTCTTATTTTATTCTGAGTGCTTCACAAACTCCCTCTTTTGGCAGATTTTGCTGAGAAAGTTCCAGAAGAGGTCCGTGAACAAGTCTTAATGACAAACTTACTTCCTTGTGTCAAGGTATGATGCATTTGGAACATATACTTCATTTACTGTATTATGATGATAATGAGTGTTAAAGTACATTGTTTCAGGTCAGATAGAAATAAAGTTACCCAGTGTTATAAATGTTGATGTCATGGCTGATGCAGGTAAAATCTGATTGGCAAAGGAAGCTTATGAGTGACGTGGAGCTATAGAACATTGTGTGTAGAATTAACATCGCAATATCATATTTTTATATCATGTTAGAACTCAAATTTTCCAAAACCATTGCAAGTGAAGCATGATTAGACCTCTTCAAGAAGATCTATTAACAACAGATTTTAAATTTTATTTACAAAACTTTCAAGAGCACTGCTGTATTTTTAATTTGGCTGATTGTGGGAATCATGATGATCACTTTGCACTAGAAACATGCCAGAGTTAACCAATATGATACTGCAGCCTTTGCTCATCACAAATTGCTTGAATATAATTTTTTTCTAAGTTGTTGACAGTGCTTGTGAAATTTAGCTGATGAAAAATTCATTTTGATTCGTCAAAGGGGTACCAGTTGTAGTTTTACTTGACCCGTTGTCTGAAAATTTCTTTTACTTTAAGGACTTGGTTATGGATGCAAACCAACACGTTAAATCTGCTTTGGCATCAGTTATAATGGGACTCTCCCCAATGTTAGGAAAAGATAAGTGAGTATGATATATGTTGATGTTTAATTTTATCAGTGTTAGCCACACTGTGTTTTTTTATTTCTTTTAGTTTCTTTTTTTTTTTTCTTTTTTATTACAATTTGACACATCCTTTCATGTAGTTTTTGTGTTAGTTTTCCACTAATTCATGGTAATATTTTGTTTATCTTTTCAGCACCATTGAACACCTTCTTCCTCTGTTTCTCACTATGTTAAAAGATGAGGTAATATGTTTGTTCCTTGAAAGCTGTCTTACTCACATTTAAAAACAGGGACTTCAGTTGAAGCTCATTCCTCAATTGGTGCTTGAAACCATTACATTATATTTCTAAGGCTTACAAAATGTATATATCAGGTGTTACTAAAGAGTTACAATGTGGATCCTGTGATAAACCCATGCAAAGATTGAAGGACACAAGATAGCTTCTTAATCGTCTTTTCAACATCCTGTGTGGGTTGATCACTCACGATATTTTACTTTTGAATTATTGGAATTGTATTTTTATACAAGAATGTGTACTAATTAAGATCACCTATTTAAAAGAATAATACATCCTCTCCCCCAGATTCCTGAAGTTCGCCTCAATATAATATCAAATCTGGACTGTGTGAATCAAGGTGAGGTTAAAATGATTAAATGCTTACTCATTTTTTGCTTTTTTAGACGATATGCTACTTATGTGGTATGAAGGTATGTTTCGTTTGTGACTTACCTTTGAACTATTTGAACATTTTTCTCCAGTAATTGGTGTTAACCAATTGTCACAGTCCTTGCTTCCTGCCATCTTTGAGCTTGCTGGAGACAACAAGTGGCGTGTACGACTGGCAATCATTGAGTACATGCCATTGTTAGCCAGTCAGTTGGTATGTTTTGTAACTTTGCTCTCCTCACTTTCAAAGGTTCAAATCATGTTCCTTGTATATGTAAATTTGGTGTTAGATCAAGATGAGTATTCTCATTTCTTGTTTGTGGGATAGTGTATGGATATTTTGGGAGAAGTTGCATGTTAATCACTTCTGGGAGGGTTAACCAGTGGACCAAAATGTAAGATCCAGTGTGGAGGGCTGGTTAAGATGATTTACATGTCAGTGTCAGGAATGCTTGGGAAAGAGAAAGGATGATGCTGCTGTAAACATTTCAAGTTTGTTTGTCAAACAGTGGAGTGTGGTCAAATCCTTTGTCAAAAGCATTCAAGAAAAGAAACTTGTTATCTGATTTCATGAGAGGCACTGAATAGTGACTTCCTCAAAGTGTTATCTGATACCATGGAGGCTTAGTTTGCTAAATTTAGCATAATTTCATATCAAATCTAATTTAGCCTTGAAATAGGAATTTACCGTGTAATTGAAAATCAGTAAAGTTCAGTGGAAGTAGAAAGTTGATGTAGTGAAATGAGAGAATCATAATTGCGTTTTGTAAAACTTTCCTTTCTCTTACAGGGAGTGGAATTCTTTGATGAGAAGCTGAACAGCTTGTGCATGACATGGCTTGTAGATCATGGTGAGCTGCTGGATGGTTAAGATAAGTGAATATCACATTGCAGTGTTGAAACGTGGTCTTGAATCAAGATCGGACATCCTGCTGAAGAAACCTGTGGGCTGTGGCCATTGATAATACAGGACAATGAATGAATTGATAATGTGAATTAGTTTTTTTTCCCGTTGTGTTGATATGTTTGACACTGTTTTGCTCAGGAGGAAGCTCTTGAATCCTTAAAAAAACGTAGCAAATGGATTGTAAATTGTCGAAAATAGAAATTCACAAATTGCAGCTGAAGAGTGAAACTCAGGAAGGTTTTAACCTGGGATCTCCTGATTTCTATCAGGACCATTTGTCACGCCCTTGAATGGGGTATGATTTGGGATGGGATTTGGATGATTGGTGATCCCCTTGGGTGTAGAGAAATAATTGTGGTGGTGATACTAGCACGATATAGATAATGTTTTGTGATAAGAGATTGTCAAAAAGCATTGTTTTTGATGTCTTCCTTTTGCAATCAGTGTATGCCATACGAGAAGCTGCTGCCAAAAATCTCAAAAAGTTAGTTGAAAAGTTTGGAGCTGAATGGGCTCAGGTGAGGACTGCGATTTAATAATCGAGGTACACTGTAACCGGTTGAATTTAGTTGGGTGCAAACTTTGCAACCCTATTATCATACAACCTTTAAACATTTCTTTTTCTCCCAGAACCAAGTTATTCCCAAGGTGTTGGCCATGGCTACAAATACAAACTATCTCCATCGCTTAACCACACTATACTCAGTGAATGTAAGTTGCTCTTCAAGTAATACTTAGTTCACTGCCAATATGGATGGAAATTGTGTGTTGATTAGAAGTAATTTTCTGCAAGTAAAGATAACTTCAGCGAAGTACTACGGCAAGGGTGAAGAGAACAAAATGAAGCTTACGATTTAATGAGTTTTCAATCGCTCTTCAGATGCGTTTGAAAACTTTATACGTTTCCCTTACGCCCTGTTTAAAGCAACAACACTAGATTTTGCGCAGTGGGAGACCGAGAACACGAAGGGCAGATGACTTTATCTGTGAATTAACGTTACTCTCTGACATTTCAACTTCTCGAGAAATTCTTTGGACAAGTTTAAGTTAATTTTTTACGTCGATGCTTTTCAAGGCATCTCCATTGTGACTGCCCCTCTAATATCAAGTTGATGTCAGTAGCTACATCGTGAGTCAGGTTGAGTTACTCAGTCCAATAATTATAGCTGTTGATCTGTTCCTGTCTTTCTCTGCAGGTTTTAGCAGAAGTCATGGGACCAGAAAGTGTAGTGAAGCTCATGCTTCCTGTCGTAATTGGTTTAGCTGATGATTCTGTCGCTAATGTTCGCTTTAATGTTGCTAAAACTTTACAAAAAATCGCACCCGCTCTGGACGAGAGGTGGGTCGGTTTTGTTAATAACTTAACATCTCTGGCTGGCTAATTGCTATAATGAACTGCCTTGGGTAGGCGTTCAAAATGAGTCACTGCGCTTTGGAATCAGACGATTACATACAGCAATTGACTATTCGAGGGTGTAGTCTGATCGTTCGGGTGAGTTTAGTCCTGAGAAGGACTGTTGTCGATGGATGGTAGTGACTGACGTTTCAACAACCTGTGCGGAAGTCATCATCAGAGTCAACTCATCATCACTTGACTCTGATGATGACTTCCGCAGAGGTTGTCGAAACGTCAGTCACTACCATCCATCGACAACAGTCCTTCTCAGGACTACACTCACCCGGACGATCAGACTACACCTTCACATGTTACCCCCGGGTTCAAACCATTTACTGCAATTGAATATTCATTTGAAAATATTTAAGATTTTTAAACTACGGGTAATGAGTCTCGATAGAAACGAAAAAGCATATTTCATGTTTACCAAAGGACAGACGGTATGGTAGATTATAGAGAGGAAATATGTTATTGTGATTGATCAACGAAATTAGACTTAAGACATTTTGCACACTTATGTAGAATTTACTGAACAAAAGAAATTGCTAGTGATGCTCACACCGAGTGAACATCGGATTAAACATTTCAATGGAAAGTATCCTATGTTTTAAAGCCACCGAACCTAACAGATGGCGGGTCAAATGAGACACCCGTCTTGATAGACAAATTGAACCAACTTGTTTTCTGTAGCCCCTGGGTAGGGAATCACGCCGAGAAATCCGACTCGATTCCTCCAGGGGAACTCAGATTTTTTCTTTGTCCCTCGCTCGTGACAAACAGAGTGACAGAGTGAAACCATTCTCAATACAGTGCGAAATATCTCTGGTGTGTTTTCTTTTTTCACAGCACCATCAAATCGCAGATCAAACCTGTCCTTGATAAACTGAATGGCGACACTGATGTAGATGTGAAGTATTTTGCTCAGGAAGCTTTGACAGGTAGTTCATAGCTGAAATATCCTTTGATAAGGATGAATCTCCGCAAGAAGTGTGCGGAACTGGGACTGCAAAATTGAATGTTGACGGTGTCATTCCAATTAATGATTACCAAATTTTATATGGAATCATCCGGTTTTTTTTTTCTTTTTTTTTTTTTTTTTGCACTGTAGTTTTACCATTTCCCTGTCAATAGCATTAGTATTACCATGATCCCTAGTGTTATCAACGTTGTCATTGTTTTTATTAACCGTTGTTACTTGTCTTCGTCATTATTACTGTAGTTATTAAGTCTTAGTAGATGACATGCTTAATGCTGTGAAGCAATCCAAGACTTCTTTAAATAAATGATAAAAATCCACTTGGGCGCTTCTCATGAGAGTTTTCGAACAACAGTCTCAGTGAACAATTATTTTGAATATGTCACCCTGCTGTTCATTAATAATAATAAACAATATTTACAGAGGATATCACCAGTAAC